TGTAGGCCTATTTAAATGTCTTTATTTTAAATGGAATGATCATAATAATAATAATAACCCTGAATTATGTATAAGGTGGAAATCCTTCTTATGGAACCGTAAAATAGGTCATAGGCCGATGTTTGAAAGAAAATATAATAATAACAATAAGGGTATTTTTGCAGTGCATGGATGCTAAAAAACAGAGACTTCTTTGTTTATTTGCGCTCCAGAGCGTCTTGGCCTGAGCCTCTGCTCTGATCCTGCAGCCTGCAGGCACTGAGCGAACTGATGGCAGACAGTGTAATACCTCTGGGACCAAATCTGTGAGTGTGTGTCTGTGCACGGCCGGGCAGGCGGTGAATAGGTGGCTTTAACGTGTCTGTCAGTTTTAGGCCTGTATAGATGAGATTTTAATGAGTCAAACTAAAAATTCCAGTGCAACTTCCCAGGGCACCAGTCAGGTCGGTCAAGTCCATTAGCGTAAACAGGGCGCTGTGGGCTCCAGTGCTGGACCTTCCACCAGTGGTTTATCCCGAGATTTACCTGCAATCTGCAATGTAAAGCTCCCGTGCACAGACAGCTGCCTAAAAAGGATACAAACGAGATTATTGCTTCTTTGTGATTGATGCGACCCTCGAGAGTCAGGAAGGAAATTTCACTGCGAGCTGCGAATCATTTTTCATTAGAAAGACAAGACAGGAGGAGGTGATGGAGGTCAATGGAGAGGATGTCAACAATGCACTTTAGGAAAGGACGGCGAGAAGGCTGCAGTGCAGTCTGTCACTGCCTTATCTAAAGCACCCAGGCTGAGGCTGAGTGCAGGCCGCTGGATGAGCTGTTGTGTGGCATTTTACAGGCCGGTAGCGGTGAAATGAAGACTCCCACAGGAGGAGAGAACAGCTCTTCACACTGGAAACGCTGCCAATACGCTTTTAATGCGCACTAGAGCGCATTAAAAGGCTCATTAAAGGGATTATTAGGTTATTGCGCCATGCTGTATTTCATGTTCTGATCAGTATCACGGATAATTAACGTCAAAATATACCTGACAAATCACACGTATCAGCGCAGAGTTCACACCATGATGAGAAAGACGACTAAGTCATGGCTGCGTCAGTGCCAGTTGTACAGTAACCTGATAGTCCGGGCTGTGTGTGTGTGTGTGAAGTGACTGGCGCGCACACACAGCATTCGGAGAAAAAGACAAGCCAGAAAGCAGCTGAACACTTTTGGGAGCGTCATCGTGTTCACATGGGACATATACAGTGAGGAAAACCCGGTTTTTTTTGCGCAGACACTGAGTCTTTTAAAAGCTGAATTCTTCTGTACATGGCGCCGCGACACCACTGAACTTAACGCACTGTTCCTGCGAGCTGAATGACAACAGGTCTATATTGTTTTGTCTCTTATATTTGACTTTTTTCTTATTCATATATATTATGTTTTATATTGAAATTAAAAGGATAATTCAGAAACAGTTACAGTCTCTCTTCTAACATCCTGCAAAACTGTATCAAGTTAGTATAACGTGGATTCTATATGAAAATGAAAAGTACCCGAGCAGAGCTAACTCACAAGCTGCTCGGTGTGTTTTCACGTCCTGTAAACATCGGTGAAGTCCCGCTGAGCTAAATCCTTGATCCAGTTTCCATATGAAAGCTTTCAGAGCAGTGACACCCGTGGTTTAGCACCAAGGAGGTGAAACTAAATGCTGATGAATTAACTGGAGACAATTTGTTTTACGCGTTACCACAGCTTTTATTGGCAAGTTGTATTAAAGAACACGTTATTTTATACTTAGAATCTTCCTGACTTTAATCTCTCGTGTAAAACTCAGTGATTTCACCCCTAAATGTATGTTTTAGTAAGGCCAAGGTTGTATTTGTATATTTATGACAACACTTCTAAAATAGAGCAAAGGATACTGTTAACACTATTTCCCATGCATTACAAATTTGCCAACTTACATTTCCAGCATGTCAATTAAAACGGTGTCATCTGAAAAGAAGGCAAATTAATATTCCCTTATATTATTTAATATTTAGTTAGCGATGCCTGTTTATATAACCTGGGTCAGGTCAGTTGAAGGTTTCACATGATGAAACCTCTGCTGCTTTAACACTTTTATTTAGACGTGTTGCCTCTGAATCTCTCTTTTCTGACGATGAAATTTAGTTTTTACGGTAAAAAAATTATTAAATCAAAATGTGATCAGTTAAGACGCATTAACCTAAATATACAACTTTATTGTTGCAGTAGAAGAAAACCGAAGCGTTTCTGCTCCCCACTGCAGGATTACTATCAGGTTATTTACCCCTTAGGTCCACATTGTCCAATAGATTTGACAGAAAACACAAATATTCTTATCTGACAAGTTCTTCTGCGACCACCTCCTGAGTTTAATTTGACCGTGAGAGTCGTTTAATCCCATAAAATGTTTATTTAGCTGCACGAACCCTTTGTTCTTTCTTTCCAGTTGTGGTCCAAATCTTGATTAGCTTCACGTTTCGTTGTGTGCCAGCAGTAAACCTAATCACGTGCGTTGGCTAATTGTTGCCGAGGGGTGCGCGGTGCACCTGCGTGAGGCTGCAGGCGCACTGTGCGTTTCTGGGCCCAAACAACCTCAGAGCAACATCTGCTTCCAATTTCGAGTGCGCACAGATGCGGCGCGGTGCAGCACGATCACAGAGAGACTATTAAACGTCCTGTAGGTGTTGACCTCAAAAACAGACAGAGGCGATCCCACCCCCCTCGGACACCCCCAGGGCTTCACAAGTTCAGTGTCAAACCGCTCCACCACGTAAATAACACCAGTGATTTAAGAAGTACATTCACTGAAGTACTGTTGTTAAGTCCTACTTGTGCCACTTAAGTGTTTCTATTTGCTTTATATTTTACCTCCATCACATTTCTTTTCTACTCCAGTTTTTTTTTTAAGTTCATAAATGTCGCTTTAGACATAACTTCCTAACAACACAGATAAAATAAGATCCACCTTGACCAGCTATACATTAAATACTGCATCAGTAATAACACTTCTGTAACATATCACACACTGACAGGAAACATTCAACATTCTGCAGCATAATGAACACTTTCTATTTTGCAGACACTAGTCTAGAAGGATTGTGAATGCAAGACTTTTACTTGTAACTATATTTTACTCAGTTAAAGAATCGAACTACTTTCTCATCCTCTGGTAACGGCCCCAAAATACTGGAATACGCAAATATTCCCAGGAGCTGACGTTTCACTGATGAAGGGTTAAAATGTTATTATGACAAATGATATATTTAAAGTCTAAAGAAAATGAGAGCTTAGCAGAATTAAAAGTCAAATCTACATTTTCTCCGACGTTTTAGTCAGAATTAAGTATGTATTTTTTTGGAAAAAACAAGTGAGGAAAATTAGGAAATCACGATTATTTGAGGAAAATATTTCAATTAACTCTTGACATCTGGCACTGCAGGCAAGTGGAGGCATCTTACTTGTTTTAGAGAAAGAAGACAGCTCAGTGTGTTTAAATGGCTTCTGTAAGACTAAAGGTGTCAATGGTCGTTGCTAATAAACCCAGCAACCTTCTTCAGGGCCAGACCCTGCCCGGATCCAGGTCTACACCCTCGAAATCTGGAGCCAGGTCAAACAAGAGGCGTTTGAGAGCGGAGAAAAACGCACTTCCTGCCCAATGAAAGAGCGCAGTGTGCTCCAAAGACAAACCCCGGGGCGCGCTGAGCCAGCGACCTGTGCACAACCTGGACAGACCCGATACACACACCCTGATTTTAACGTACCTGCATTTAAAACCTGGATCAAGGTTTGCTTACAGTTTCCATGCCTCGCGTTTTGATTCGTTGGCCTAGAGGGATGAAACAAAAACGCACAAACAGAAACAGACCCACAAGTATTTATCTGCCACACACCTGGACCCTTGTCGAACTTCTTTATCAGTTTTGTGTATCAGCAAAAAGCAAATGAAAAAGAACAGCACATGTAAAACACCAGTCTTTATTGTACCACATGATTCATTTGTTGATTTAAATCCCAGTCATTAATAAATATGAGATAATTAATTCCTATGTTCCTGTCAAAAGGTAAAATCTTTATTCTTCTGCTGCTTTATAGATTCTTCCATATCACCCCGTGAAAGAATTAATCTCAACCATGCCTTTGAAATTACTTCCGTCCACCAAAAAAATCCCTTAAATCCATTTCTATAGATTATGATATAAGCAGTGTTATCGCATTTGCAATAATACAATTAAATCAATAAAATATTACTAGAAAAAAACCCCAACAAAGGCAATGGATGGTTTAATTAATCTAAGATAAGAAAGGACACAATCACTTGATTTGGAAAAGTCACAAAGGTAAAAAAATACATGTTCCTTGCACTGTTGGTCTCAGAGGCAGAACACTGGAGCTGAACTCTCTGCGTCCTGCTCGGACTGATTCGGCCTCAGGCGTTTGGGTTTTTCCTCATGAGCTCGATGTCTGCGTCCACCATCTCCTTCACCAGCGCCTGCAGAGGAACAGGACTCACTTACACAAGAAGGCAGCTTGTTTGTGAGTTTACCACAGGGGAAGTGCATTAGGATATTATACTAGAATAATATGCATTTTTAATGACAGGAAAACACATTATTTCAGTTCCTTGACGAATCCTCATAAACATGCAGCCAGTCAGTGTTGCTAAAACTGAGCCATGCATGTGTTTATGAAATGACTGAGGAATCGTGAAGGAACAGAAATTATTTGTTGTCCTGTCATTAAAAATGTACAGCTCAGTTTTAGTGAGGTACACTGGCTGCAGCAGTCAGCAACAAATGCTACTTTCTTTAGACAAGGTTGTTGTTAACATATTAAAATAGTGATTTTTATTGGTAAATGAAACAAAAGGTTTCATTAAAAAAGTATTTTTCTCAAAAAATAACATCTTGTTTATCAGTACTGAAAATTAGGCACCGTGTTAATAGAATCCTAAACAATGTACCCAGACTTTTAGCTACCACAGTAAATGAACATATCATGTTATACCAATACCTATAAGCAAAAAGTAAATAGATACAGGTAAATAAGAGAAATAGTGCAGTGTGGGGATGTTAACAGTATTCAACATTCAGGTTTTCTTTATGTGGCTCAAAATATGTTGGATATGTTGTCATTATTATGATGCATATTTTATTCAAACCTTCCACTGTGACGTTTTGCTTAAAATCTTTTTCAGTGAAGGAAGAACTTTCATAGTCCTTCCTATGTAACACTGAGCAGGTTCAAATAAAATATGGACACATTTAGACATGGAAGGCAGAAACTGGCCTGCTGTTACTTTTCTGTTGTGGCCCTCAGTGCATCTCTGTTTATCACTACATGTTAGGTTGAACCTAATAAAAAAGTAGGCCAGTAAAGCCACATCCTTCAGCTTATGTTCCCGCCCACATTGTGTGTTAACCCCACCCGCTCTCTACATATGTACTGTAGCTACAGATCCATTTCCTGACCTCCATTTGTTATTAAATTGCTTTATTTTAGTGTTTTATTTGTCGACATGATCTTTTCTTTGGATAAATTGTTTCAGCTAATTGTTCCACATCTGTGCTTGTGCCTGACCAGGTGTGTTGTAAACCAGAGTGACGCACCTCAAACGTCACCTTCGGTTTCCAACCCAGCCTCTGATAAGCTTTGGTGCTGTCCCCTTGTAGGTAGTCCTGTTAGAAGGAAGAGAGGGAGGGGAGAGAGAGCGAAAGGGGGAGGGGAAGAAAAACAAATCATCTGTCATGTCTGATCGGACGCTCCCAAGGAGGAGAATCCTGCAGCAGGACACACAGTTGCTCTTCTCTCAGGGAAAAACGGAGGTCACAGAGTCTCGCTGGTCATCAATCCCCCCCGCCGGCTCCCCACCACCGATCTGTCCAGACAGCCCCCGTGGGTGCCAGAGCATGATGAATTATGGGACTCTGGTGGTGTAACCCCCAGTCCAGGACCCCCACCCACCCCCAACCCTGTAACTCACTATTCCCCCTGCTGTGTTTTGTGCTGGTTTCAAGACCCAGCGAGACCCGGCCTTGGACCACCAAAGAGACAGAGAAAAAAGACTGTACATCCTCTGTGTTTTTAAAGCTTCCTGTCTTTCTAGCTTTGGTTCTCTTCCTCCGACTTCTATTTGGATCTCTATTTTTGGGGCGTTTAGTTGCATATATTTTTGTTGCATGCTGGTCTCAAGAGATCGCTTCATCTAAATCATCAACATGTCTCCTGGACCCCATCCCGACCAGGCTGCTCAAAGACATCTTTCCCCTAATCAACACATCCATACTAGATCTGATTAACCTCTCTCTATTAACAGGTTATGTTCCACAGGCTTTTAAACTTGCAGTAATTAAACCTCTACTCAAAAAGCCTACTCTTGACCCAGGTGTCCTAGCTAATTATAGACCAATATCCAATCTCCCATTTATTTCCAAAAT